CCCTTACGCTGGCTAGGGCCGGGACTTGCCGGCCCAAGCCCTGGAACATTCACGGGTTTCGTGATCTTGGACTTGGCTTCGGACTTGGCTGACAAAAGATACTTCGAACTTAACTTCGGACTTGCCTCAGGTTGCGTGCGCTCCTTGGCCTTGGGTCGCTTCGTGGTCGTCGGACGCGTGTGTGCTTCGACCAATGCATCCTCAGGTGGGGGCCTTGGCTATGACCGCCGCTGCACACAGACAGATAACACGGGGGACACAAGCCGAACAGCTGTAGTAGGTATCAAACTAGTCGCAGGTCAGCGCCCCCCGCCGCCGTCTCCACCGGCACCATAATCACCTCTGAGCCAAGGAAAAGCTGGGTGCCCCAGTCCTGCGACGCTGACTTGGGAAGGAGGCTGGCGACGGCTATTGCCGCTCAGTTATATTTATAATAAGGTGTAGGGGCTTAGAGGTTTAAGGTATCGAAGCCTGCGACACTGGGATAGGGAAGCAGGCAAACGAAGGCTACTGAGGCTAACGCTACTCGAGGCTTGCTGTTTCCAATCCTGTGACACTGTGCGCTGGAAGGAGGCTAATGAAGGCTACTGAGGCTTACAAGATTGAGGGGGGTTTGCTGTAGGGTTTCCAAATCTTGCGACAGGGAGTCACTGGGATTGGGAAGGAGGTTAGTGAAGGCTATTGAGGCTTAGAGGGGTTCAGGGTCTTTAGGGGTTTAGAGGTTTTTGAAGGGTCAGTCCGGCTGCGACACGAACTCGCGACCCTCAAAGCTGATCAGGAGATTGTTCATGGAGTCGAGGTATACGCGTGGGGTCTGCTCCTGGTCCTCGACACGGCGGTTGTCGGGGAATTCTCGGTCTGCATGATCAGACTCGGAATACTCGGGACGCATGCCGGGAAGGGTCATCGCTTTTGGCGCAGCATGAACTCGAAGGCCGGCTTTGCTTTGCCAGTCGTCGGCGCTCTCGTCTTCGTGCGGAGGCGGATTCAATGGAACCAGACTGCCTGCAATTGGTTGGCGGGTCGGTGGTTGGCGGGGTTTAGAGGAGTGCTTTTGGGGTTTAGGGTAAGACTAGCACCTGGCCTAGATCCGGTTCCACCCCATCAGCATCCTCCTCACACTCCTCATCCTCAGCGTACTCCTCCGCGTCTGGGATGTATTCCTCTTCCTCCTCGTTGTCGTTATCATCCTCCGCCTCCGCGCCAAGCACCTCTCCGTCCGGGTCCGGGTCGGACTCCGTGTGAGGACCAGGGGACACGTTCACGTCCTCCTCCTCCTGTTCCTCCTCTCCGTCTTCGCCGCCATGGCCTTCCACATCGGTGCGGCTGCCGAGACGTGCGTGCGTCTTCTTCAATTCGTCAACGTTCCTTTTGAGTAGGATGCCGGGGGACACCCCTTCCTGCCAGTCAGATTGGACAAGGAAGGCAAGTGAAGCTCATTCAAGCCGAATCACACCATTAAAACCCCGGTGCCTTCGCCACCCTGTCTGAACTCAGATCGGTCGCTGATTTTTGGGCCATCGAAGGCTATTGAGGGCTATTGAGGGCTATTAAGGGCTATTAAGGGCTTACCGAAGGCCATGGGGGGCTCAGGGCTGGGTTTCCATCCAGGGGTGTTGGGAGCATGCACAATCACATCATCTGCCAGCCTCGACTGACCTCTTGTAGAGATCCTTGACGTAAGCATGGGCTGCTGCACCATCGAATTTGAGCCACTTGTTGGGGCACGATGCCCTCCGATACTCCGTGCAAAGTTCTCGCAAGCATTCTTGGCGGTCGTACCTTCGTGCTTTGTCTAGCTTAAAAACGGCTGCGTAGTTTTCTGTTTTTTGTAACCGTAAAAGAAATTTGAGAGCCGCCACGTGACGAGGGCAGCTTATCCTCCGGCGTGATTCCGAAGGCCATCCATACCAACACGTTCAACTCCTCGCGGCTGCAGCGGCCCAGCATGGTCTTGGTGTGTGAAGTCTTGTCCGCAGTCCACAACCAATCCGCGAGGTGATGCTCCTGGCATGACGCAAACGAAGCTTATTGAAGCCTATTAGGCGGAGGGTGTGGGCCGAGGTCACAATCAGCGCTGGTGGGGCATCAATCAAGTTGTCAAGGTTTCCACTTTAGTATAGGCGGGGTCTGTCAGTCCCAGCAGACACTATATCGAAGCACACTGAAGCCTAATAATATACTGCTGCAGGGGGTTCACAGCAGCAATGGAATTCCTGGGCATATATTGCAGGAAAGGCTCTGGTAGCAATCGCACTGACGTGTAACTGCTGCTGTACGTCTTGACTGGGACCTTTCTGGCTCCGCGCGAAGCAGTAATCTCCGCCACGTTGGAAAAGACCCACCTGAGTGTGTGGTATTTAAAAATAAAATTCGAGGTTAACAAGGCCACCGGTCGGAAGCACACACACACACACACACACACGATGTGGTCAACAGTAAGGCTTGATCGAGCTTACATTGCGTCTCGGCTTTTCATCCTTTGGCTCCTTTGACTTTGACGGTGTTCTCTTCGCGGCACCCTCCTGCTTTGCATCTGCCTTTGCCTTCGCCTTCGCCTTCGCCTTCGCCTTCGCCGCACTGGCCCCGGGACCCTTGTTGCCAGGGGTCGCTGGCGCCTTGTTTACAGCCTTGGCTGCCGCCTTGCGAGGCGTCTCCTTGATCTCTGCGGCCGTGGGCTTTGGCCCTGGGCGCGCCTTCGCTTTGCCAGAGGCAGAGGGTGGCGCGGCCTTCTTGGACGACGCAGAAGCCTGGCCATCCTTGGCCGTGGCACCGCTCGCTTTGGCCTTGCTTGTCTCTGACTCTAGCCGGAAAACAAAGAGTGGAGCACGCCTACACTTAACAATTGAAGCCTGGAGCGACACCGTACTACCCACCTGGCCTGCACTACCTTTGTAACAGGGCCGCTGGCGCGACCGTGCTTGTCGACTGGCTGGTAGTACTCAGCGCTCTCCGACTCCTTGAAGGAGCTGTGGTGGACAATCAACGAAATCAAACGAAACACAATCTGTTGGACAGCACTCGGCGGCCTGCCTTCGGCACCTTCGCGCGCTTATTGCCTGCCGGCGGGGGCGCCGGCATGGCGTCTGGATCATCAGGACGGCGCTTCCCTGGCATCACTGTCACTGCCGAAGCGACTCAGCTAAAAGCGAGCACCGCAAGCTCTCTTGGACCACAGTTCCGCTGAAGCGGGCAAGGTTCTGGTGCATCTCAATGACTGAGCGAAAGCCCAACCCATCCCGAACCCCAGCACAATTCAAAGTTAAGTAAAATCGCAGGCAGACAGCAACAGCCTTTCTTGTCGAAGGCTATCGAGTGTTATCGAGGGCTATCGAGGCATAGTGAAGATTGTTATTCAAGGCTGCGACGACTGGCTATGGAATGTGGAGAAATTGGAGCCTATCGAAGGCTATCGAGGGCTATTGAAGGCTCCTACCGGGTACCGTTGGCTATGGCAGTCCCCAAAACGCAGCAATAGCTGCAATGACTCACGTTTGGCCGCTGTGTTGCGCGCAAATCACGTGCTACTTACAATTACAATTTAAACTTGATTGCAGAACATAACAGTGCCCCGCAAGGATAGTACCACGACTAGCAGTAGACGACAAGCCGAACCTCAGCGGAGCACGCAACACATCTGAAACAACAACCCAAATGGACACACCAAACCCGACAACTGTTCAAGAACTGTGCTCCTCAAGCAACTTTATTGAATTGAGGAACGGAAGAACCTGGGGGGTAGGTGTGTGGGAATTCACCGACCCACCTTCCCCGCCCCAAATCAAGTCCCACTAGCCTGCATCGAAACTAAACCCAAACCTTGAGATCCGATTTCACCGAACCCAACAGCCGCTTCTTGTCGAAAAATTGCAATCGAAGGCTATCGAGGGCTATTGAAGACTGCTGAGGGCTCTCGAAGGTTATCGGGTAGTCAGGGCGGCTTAGGAACCTAGGGCGTAGGTTTGGAGGATTAGAACTAGACTAGAGGGCTTCTTAAAGATTCTTAAGCCGTTTCAGGGATAAACCGACCCCCCCCCCCTATGGCCCGCATCGAAACTAAACCCAAACCTTGAGATCGGATTTCACCGCTCCCAACAGCCGCTTCTTGTCGAAACTTTGCAATCGAAGGCTATCGAGGGCTATTGAGGATTGCTGAGGGCTATCGAAGTTTATCTAGTATTCAGGGCGGCTGGGACTGGCTATGGGCTGTGATAACTTCACTATTACTGGGTTTGCTGTGGGGTTTACCAAAAAAAACAATCAGATGTCACTTTGTGCTCAGGCAACTACCACTGGGACCCCAAGTTACTGCCAAGGGACTTAGGAACCTAGGGCCTTAGGGAGTAGGCTTCGGTTTCGAGGATTAGAGAAAAGGGGCTTCTTCAACCCTTTCAGGATACGGGCGTGCCTCAGCACGATAGCGTCGGGGTCCTCCATTTGCAAATGTCGCTCTCTGATGACCTGGGTCAGTTGCGGTTGATATGTGGTTTTCCCTTGGACCTCGAAATGATACCCTGATCCCTGACATCTGTGCTTGTGCTCCTCTCGAAGCTTATTGAGGGGCACTGGAGCGTTAACTGAGTGAGTTTACATGAGACACCCTCGACTGCGGTCGAAACTGAACACACAGCTCAGGGGCTATCAGCATTGAGGGTTTGTACGGCTGGTTATTAGGGTGCTTCGTAATTGAAGGCTATCGAGGGTTATTGAGGGCTGTTACGGTTATCCCTTTAACCCGCCACAGCCTGTGCTGCAAACTGAAAAACCCTGTCGAAGCCTATTGAAGGGCACGTGGCTGCGGGGCCCTGGAAAAGGTGCTAGTCTGCAGCGGTGTGGGGGCGTGAGCGATATCCAAAGTCTTATTAGGGATGGCCGCTGTATGCCGCTGTGGAATCGCTTTTGCACACAGCTCCACAGGAGTCCGAAACGCCGGCACGTTTCCGCAGGAAAGCCTCGCGAGCAGCCAAATTAATGAGCAGTCCTCGCCCCGACTGTCGGGGTTAGGCTGAAAACTTTGTGCATTGCCGCTTGAAAGCCGGCCAGTCGATCTTCGTGCCAGGAGCTTCACAATCCCGACCAAAGCAAGTGAGGGCAATAAAAAGAACTACTGTGGCATTGATTAAGTGCATGCTGTTGCCAAGGACCTTGGCACCACGACGCGGGTCCAGGCAGGGGACGGGAGCTACGCCCATGCTCCGGGCACTATTCTCGCACACAGGAAATCCCAGCGCAGACATTTTGTCAGCTGTGACAAGAAGTCGCCGCTTGGACGGTATCCAGAAATTTGCTGAGTTTGTCCGAAACGTAGGGATGCGGTTGTTGACTGCGCTCCAACACTTTGTGAAGCTTGCGTTGTCCCCTAGGAAATAGACCAGGTCCTGGTTGAGCTTCGGCTCGTGTCCTGATCTCTCTCGGTAGCACGCGTCGAGTGTCTGGACTTGGATCTTCTCCCGCCCATTGAGGAGATAATACATGTCTGAGGTGTCCTGACTCTGTGACTGTGCTACATTTAAGGGAATTCAGGGCTAGGATTTAGCGAGGGATTGAATGACGACGACAAATGGAAAGCTCAGTGCTAGGTCACCCAAAGCGTCCTGGACAGGTATACGTCGGAGTGCTGCGAGCCGCGCCGCGTGTGCTTGCAGCTGGTGCTGGTCGGCAACAAAGTAGTCTCGGGGTCGTGTCTGCACGGTCTTCTGGATGGCTGTCCTGATGCACCGGTAAGCCTCATGAACGTCGAAGAGGTAGCGTGCGTTGGTTTTATGGTAGGCGAAAATGTATTTCCGCTTGCGGGATGTTCCACCAAAGCCACAATGACTGGGTTCAACGAGCAGCTCCGCGAAATTGTAATCCTGGCCAAGCAAGGCCTCCAGCATGCTCATGCGGATGTCCTGAGTTGATGCGGAATGCACAAATTGAGGGCTATTGAAGGCTACTGAGGGCTATTGTTGAAATGCAGAATGCGCAAGTGGAGGGCTATTGAAGGCTACTGACGGCTACTTTTCAATGATTAGATAGATATTCAGAACTCACGGGCTTGGTCGAAAGCAGGAAACCCCAGCTATTGAGGGCTATTGAGGGATATTGCGTTTTTGGTAAATCATGTCGGGGTTGTGCCGAGATTTAGGAAAGCCTAGCAGAATCATACTAAACCAATGCGAGGGTCGACGACATTTTCGATCACCAAAACAGGTGTGCCGAGAATGCGATGTTTTTTGGCCCAAACGGCATAAACCGATGAGGTTTCTCCCTCCTCAAACTTCCTCTTCCGATTTGCTCGTGAGTTGTCGGGACAGGGCAGTCCTGACATGTCAATGTCCACTGTCCTCATGATGGGGCATTGTTGCCCGTGCGTGTAACAGTACTGAGTCCGCGCCATAGACTCCTTGGCCACCAGCTGCAGTCTTCGCTTGAAAGTCAAGCCCGCCATATCCAGCTGGTACGCCAGCTGATGGAGAATATCACCGAAAACACAGGGTTGGCTGGTTCTGTGGCCAGAAGTGACATTGCACCAGTCATGGTGGTCCACAATTAGGTTCCGGCATGCGGCATCTGCTTCCTGGGCAAGGGCGCAGGTGTTGGGCACCGCCTATTGAAGCCTATTGAAGACTATTGAGTGTTTGTGAAGGCTACTGAGGTCGATTGAAGGCTATAAGGGTTCTCGAAAGTTTGATAGGTTTACCTGTGACGGGCCCATCCAATTTTTGAACCCTATTGAGAGCTACTGTTACATTGTTGAGTTTGCTGCCCAAGGTTCGTGACAAGATGAAGATTTCAGCCCCACGGGGAATTCCAGGAGGCCGCTGTCATCTACAGTTTTCGCAATGATTGCGAGCCCCATCTCGGCAGTGTATGCTCCCGTGCAAGAACTCGACATCTTACGACCTGTTACCAGCAGGGTCGCAGCCATCGTAGACTTGGGGAGGAGGTTGTGCAGCACCTGCCAAGCCATCTGCACTGCCCTGGAGGCCGTCACCAGCGGAGCTTCCCCCACCGGCACATCAAACGGCGCGTCTGAGTACGAGGACCGGCTTCGTAGATCCTCATCGTGGCTACAAATGGACCTCTGCTCCGTCTCTGACATGGCGATGCCGGCGCAGACTCCCGAATTGTCTGTGCGGAATCTGATTCTATCCCTCAGACAGTTAAAGTTAGCGTTTTAGAAAACGTGTAAGGACCTTAAAGCCTTAGGACGGTATCATAAGCCTCAGCAGCTCGTCTGAAGTGCACGAGAAAACAGATTGCAAACTCCTACTACGGCTCTGGTCCTCATGCTTCGGCAGGGCTGACCTAAACAAATCATAGACTCTTACTCAACCAGAAAGAAAATAAACTTCCGGCATAAACCCCAGAATCTCAGAATCCCCCCAAAAGCTCGAAACCCGCGAGGGTCACTGTTTCAGAACTTTAACTTTAGATTTTGAACGGAGTTTCGGGCTTTGGGGTTTGAAGGTTCAGTCAGTGAGGCTGATGTATAGTAAGTAAGCAAGAAATTCTGACCTTGCATCAGCCTGTCAGCACTCCTACCGAAAGGGGTCGCCCTTACTACTGCTGAAAACAAGAAAACCCGACCCCGAAAATCAAGCCCAGCTAGACACGTAGCCCCCTGAATTGGTGGGCTTTCCAATAAGATGGCATGCGTATATAAAAAATCTCAGTCCGCGGCCAGGGGGGGAGCAAACCCACCAGCACTCCGGTGAGGAGCCCAAACGTAGAACAACTCCACGGGCACACGTGCCACGGACGATCCGTCCAAGAGGATCTCAGCAGTGGACCGAAACGGGAGGTTTCAACCCCAGCCCCAAAGACAATTAGTCCGACTTCTCAGATTGCACTTGCAGCAGCTTTGCTGCATGCTATTGAAAATGCACGCTAAAGCCCCGAGTGCTATTGAAGCCTATGAAGTGAGCGGCAAACCCCAGATTGCCTATGGGAAACCCTAGCCAAAGCAACTGAAGCCTATTGAGGGATAAACGGGTTATGAGTTGGGCTCTGTCGAAGCCTATCGAGGGCTATTGAAGCCGGCTGTCCGTCTAGCAAAGCCTTGTTTGAAACCCAGCCCCAAAGACAATTAGTCCGACTTCTCAGATTGCACTTGCAAGTTGTCCGGTTGCAGCTTTGCTGCATGCTATTGAAAATGCACGCTAAAGCCCCGAGTGCTATGAAGCCTATGAAGTGAGCGGCAAACCCCAGATTGCCTATGGGAAACCCTAGCCAAAGCAACTGAAGCCTATTGAGGGATAAACGGGTTCTGAGTCTGAATCACTGAATCCAGCCGCCATGAACTCCTTCTCGTCCTCCAACTCGAACCGAATCCTCTGAAGTGCTGCGGCCTTCGGCTAGAAGCCGGGAGCAGCATAAGGATTGGGGATTTAAGCGGTCATGCTTTATGTGGTTCCTATGAATGAATATACGGAAGGCTAGGTCAATGGCAGGCATTGGGTTCAGGTAGACGCTCAGAATTTCTGAATAGCAGTTTAAGTTGTCCTAGCGAAGCCTTCTGGACTGCTATGTTCGGTTCGACGGTTCTGATTTTGTGATTCCCAAACCCCAGCTATGGCAGCAACTCCAACACCAATTAGTCATACTTCATCTCAGGCGCAACACGCAAGCAACCCTGTCGAAGCTTGCTGAGTCCTATTGATGTCCTATTGAAAATAACCTGCTGAAGCTTGCGGAATGCTATGGAAGCCTGACGAACAAGCCTAGAAGAGTACAGATTCCTCCCGAATGCCGAACCCGGCCGAATCCATCCCTTTGACAAACGGAGTGAATAGTAACCGCAGTCTGGCCACGCTCATCTTATAAGAAACAGTAGCAGCAGAAACCGCTGTGTCGAACTCCCGCAGTGCACCGGAAATGAAGCTGTCCTGAACTTCTCGGGTGAATTCGGGAGATGTGGACGAATAATAAAGGATGGTCCTCCCAGGATTTTAAAATCCACTCTGGGTGCTATTGAGGGCTATTGAGGGCTATTTCTTGCGCTAGGTCCTTTCCCTCGAACAGCCTCTCAGCCACGCCAGCCACAACGGTGTTCACCCATTCGCTCGTGTGCTTCGTGTGCTTGCCGCCGAGGATACGAAGCCCTTGTTTGAAAGGCAAACGCGTGTGTTCCTCCACGGTTCTATCGGCGAAAGCAGCCATTTGTGACAGAAGATAAAGCGCAGACCGCTCCAAATCCAGCTTGATTTTCCGTCGCAGCCGCTGGCCTGCCCGCTGTTTGACTTTGTAGGGGTCCAACGCAAACAGCATGAAGTCAACCAAGCTGGGCTGATTCTTGGATGAGTTGACCCAGGGAATCTTGTCGTCGTTCAGGTCTTGATCCCACACCTGGGAAAGGGACAAATGCACCATGAACCACTTTGAAAACACAACAGCCTTCAATAGGCAATGCCCCCTACACACGAAGCCCGACAATTTAATGCAAACAAAGGAGAAGGTTCTGCGGCCGCAGCATCCCTGTAAGCAGGTGTCCAAATATCAGCCACGCAGCCGTCCCTATCAATCACAGTTCTGTGGTATCTGTACGATTCACCATCAGCAGTAAACTGCATCACGATGATCTCTTCACCGGCCATTTTGTTGACCCAAAAGCGCAAAAAGAACTCGGCTCCGCGGCGGTCTTCTACTCTTCGCTTATTACAGGTGAAGATGTGGTGGGCGAGCGCAAAAACAGACGTGGTGGGCATTGTGCTTGCCAATACTCGGGTGCCGCTCGCTGTGGAATGCTGCTTCGACAGGGGTGGTGCGGCCATGAAAGGCCAGATTTGCTGGTGAGACACTTTGATGCCGTCTTCGACCTCTCTCACTTTGTACAGATCTCGAACGCTTCGCCAAAACACTTCTGTAACAGATTTAATGTACCACAAAGCCTGCCCTGATTTGCGGCCAGCCGCATCTCTTTGCACAAGCAGCTGTACCTCTGTCTGCTTGATTTGGCACAACCTTTGTTCAAGACCTGTGTCAGGAACACGCTGGTCAGCGGGGGCCAGCTCGTCAGCAAATTCACGAGGATCATCATGCTCCATGACTCCATAACGTTTCTAAAGGCTCGGTAATTGGGTTTTTCAGGCATGCAGTACATTTACAGGCATGGTATTGAGGTTACACTGGTTGGTTGGGGTTTATCGGGGGGTTGGTACCATACCGAAATCCTAACTTGGTCGAACTCGCCCCTGCGCGAAACATTACGTGAGTTGAGCGAAACCGTACAATCGAAGGCTATCGAGGGCTATCGAGGCTTAGTGTTGGACGTTGACAATTTTATGGAGTAGTCGGGGCTCCTGAAAATTGCGGCTTATCACAGGCTGTCGAGTGCTATTGAGGGCTCCTACTGGTTACCTTTGGCTATGAGGTTGACGCGGGCTTTCTCAGAAGATGCGCACCACAGGTCAGCAGCCCGAATCGCCGAAGCCTAAGCACGCTTGTCCTAAACAGCCTAAAGACACCAAACCCTGAACTAAAGCAAAAGCCTAATGAGGGCTATTGAGGGCTATTGAGGGCCCTTTACACTTGAAGGCTACGGGTGGCTATGGGCACTATTCATTATTCAGAAAAGCTATCCACGGCAATCCCCAGGAAGCTGTAGGAATCTAGGAAACCCTGGCCTAGCCCCAACGGCTGTAACCGAGCCTGCTTGCTGTCCACAGAATCCCTGTGCGCTGCCACTGGGCTACGCTGGCCACCGCTGCCTTCAGCCCAGGGGGCCTCGGCAAAAGTTAATTTGGTCCGAAACCCGCTGCTGCACTGCTACGGTTACTAACAATATTTACTATTCAGTGGAGTCGGTCCAAATCCAGCCAATCGCCCCTCCCAGTGTTTCAAGCAGATCGCTAAGCATTGCAGCT